GAGAAAAATCAGTACACATGTAACTTTTGTTACAGGAATCAATTTATGAGCATCTGTTCCGCTCTCTGGATGCTGCTGGCCTCCAGCGCCTTTGGCTGCCTCCTTCCCTGCGCACACGGGGCTCTCGCACCCAGCAGGCAGGCGAGCAGAAGCTGAGATCCCATCAAGAGTCCAGACTTTGGATGCTTCCTTTGTTTCCATCAAGTCTGAGCCTTTTCAGCTCTGGAGGACTGCCTTGAGGGTCTCCAGGCATCTCTGAAACACCAGCAAACAGAGGTTGGCAAGTAAATGTACATGCTGAGAGTTAAGAGCTGACATTTATAAAATATAGAGCCAAGACAAGGAACCGAACTGCCTGGCAAGATCTTTTACTGACATTAGAGGAGGCTCTATAGCAGTGGTTCCCAACCAGGGGCAACTCTGCCTCTCAAGGGACAATGGGCAATGTCAGGTGACATTTGAGACGTCACAGACAAGGGGTGACATCCAGGGATGCTGCTAAGCAGCCTACAGCACCCACAACAAAGAATTATCTGACACAAAATGTCAACAGTCATCAGGTCAAGAAACTTGATCTGGCTCATGAGGGTGCTTTTACAGCAAGGTGGTCTCCCTGCTGAGACTTACACAGGCAGCTGGGGAGTTTAAATGATGGTTCTAGCAGACGTACCCTTGCTTTCTCAGAACTGACTTAAAATCAGATGGCATTAATTTCCAAGAGAACAAAAGAAAAGATATTCTACCTTTAATTATATTAAACCAGTAACTATATCACTTACCTGATTGAATTTTTTCTGTGAAAGGGGTGGAAATTTCACTGGCTGGTATAGAATTGGGTGAAGGATCTGTCTTTAAGGGCATTAAATTTATTCTCCTTGATGTAAAAAAAAAGAAATAGTGGGGAGGATGGCTTGTTAGTGTCACAGGAATTGTTTATGTATGATACCAAGTTTCAAAACTACTAAAGGAAATACTTAAAGTTTTCAGCTGATCATAACCTGCTTAAATTTAGTTTAGTAACTAAGAATTACATTCACGTGCTAAGTTAAAACATCACATTTATAATGGTTAACTTAAACCATAACCAGCTCTCTAAAAATTTCAAAACCTATTTTTTTTTTTTTTTTAAGACAGGGCTTTTTCTGTCCCCCAGGCTGGAGTGCAGTGGTGCAACCATAGCTCACTGCAGCCTGGAACTCCTGGGCCCAGTTGATCCTCTTGCCTCAGTCACCCAACTAGCTGGGACTACAGGTGCATACCACAGCTCCCACCTAATATTTTAATTTTTCTACAGAGGTAGGGTCTTGCTATATTGCCCAGGCTGGCCTAGAACTCCTGGGTTCAAGTGATCCTCCCACTTTGGCTTCTCAAAGTGCTGAGATTATGGGCCTGAGCCACCACACCTGGCCAAAACCTGTGTTTTTCTTTTTTTAATTACTATGGTTTGCTCAATAGCTTGCTGGCTACTGTATGTAGAAGGCTATCAGATATGGTTTCTATATGTGGAATGTGCCAAAATATAGATAATTCTTTTTTAAAATCCAGTTAATTTTCAACAACTATTACTGTTTTAAAAAAAATTGTAGGCTGGGCGCGGTGGCTAGCGCCTGTAATCCTAGCACGCTGGGAGGCCGAGGCAGGTGGATCGCTCGAGGTCAGGAGTTCGAGACCAGCCTGAGCAAGAGTGAGACCGTGTCTCTACTAAAAAAAAATAGAAAG